AGCCAGAACAATAAGACAGGAAAATGACATACAAGGAATCCAAATAGGGAAAGAAGAAGTACAACTATCTTTACTTGCAGATGATATGATAATATACATGGAAAATCCTAAGAACACCTTAGGAAAACTAATCAAAACCATCAACCAGTTTAACAAGGTTGCAGGTTATAAAATCAACACACAAAAGTCAGTAGTTTTCCTATACACAAACAACCAATCAGAAGAAGTAGAAATCAGAAAAACCATCCCCTTTATAATAGAAACAAAAAATAATCAAATACTTGGGAAGAAACCTAACAAAAGAGGTGAAGGGACCTATACAAAGAAATATAAAGCCCTGATAAAAGAAATACAAGAAGACGCAGGAAATGGAAAGACATACCCTGCTCATGGATCGGAAGAATTAACATCATCAAAATGGCCATCCTACCAAAAGCTATATGCAGATTTAACACTATGCAAATAAAAATCTCAATGACATTTTTTAAAGAAATAGAACAAATATTGATGAGATTTATATGGAACCACAGAAAACCTTGAATAGCCAAAAATCTCCTGACTAAAATGAAAGGGACCAGAGACATAACAATCCCAGACTTCAATCTATACTACAAGTCATAATAATCAAAACTGCATGGTACTGGAACAAGAACAGACATACAGACCAGTGGATTTGAATAGAAAACCCAGATATAAACCCACAGGTTTATGGACAGCTACTTTTGACAAAGGAGCAAAGAATATGCAATGGAACAAAGAAAGTTTGTTTAACAAATGGTGCTGGGAAAACTGGACTGCTATTGCAAAAAAAAAAAAATGAAGCTGGACTACGCACAAAAACGAACTCAAAATGTATTAAAGAACTAGACATAAGACCCGAAACCATAAAATATCTAGAAGAAACAGTAGGTGAAACTCTGCATGACATACACCTCAATAATATCTTTGAAGATACATCATCCAAAGCAAGGATAGTAAAGGAAAGGATAAACACTGGGACTACATCAAGTTCAAGAGCTTCTGTACAGCAAGAGAGACACTACACAAAACAAAGAGATACCCCACCGAGTGGGAGAAAATATTTGCACACAATACTAATGACAAAGGACTGATCAGAAAGGTACACAAAGAGCAGATAAAACTCAACAAAAATAAAGTGAACAACCCCATCAAAAAATGGGCAGAAGAGCTACAAAGACACTTCTCCAAAGAAGAAATGCAGATGGCAGCAGGCATATGAAAAAATGTTCAACATCACTTGTAATAAGGGAGATGCAAATTAAAACCACAATGAGATACCATCTCACACCAGTGAGAATGGCACATATTAAAACAACTAGCAACAACAAATGTTGGCAAGAATGTGGAGAAAAAAGAATTCTCCTACACTGCTGGTGAGAGTGCAAAATAGTAAACCATTATGGAAAGCTGTGTGGAGGTTCCTCAAATTGCTAATGTAGAACTTCCACCATATGACCCAGCAATTCATCACTCCTAGGCATATAACCAAAAGACACAAAAACATTGACTCAAAAGGACACCTGCACCCCCATGTTTATTGCTGCTCTATTTACAATAGGGAAGATGTGGAATCAACACAAATGCTCAAAAATAGAAGATTGGATTTAAAAGATGTGGCACATATATACAATGAAATATTATTCAGCAATCAAAAAGATAAAATAATGCCTTTTTCAGTAACATGGATGGAGCTGGAAGGGATCATACTTAGTGAAGTAAGCCGGAAAGAAAAAGAAAAATACCAGATGGTTACACTCATAGCAAGAGCATAAGGGATCAGGGGTTAAGAGAGAGAGAAGCAAAATGTAATAAAGCAAAAATGAAAACAATGAACAATGATAAACCAGACATTTTATGGGGGTGGAAAGGGGAGTGGGAAGAGTGCACTGGACTATGGTGATGGCACATGGGTGAATTGGTGGTGGGAAGCCCATGGGGATTACAACTGAGATGGAAAAAATGCACAAAATTAAGAAGGATGTAAAAAAATAAAAAATAAAGAAAAGAAAAACATTGTCTCCAAACATTCTTTCAGGAAGAAAGGATGACACATGCAATTAATTTGATAATTTCTGTCAGAGGTGGCACTGACTTCATGATGTGAGTCCAAATCTGTCAGATTCAAATGCCCTAAGAAGTTCTGTGGCTGCCCTGGTAGCTATAGAACATCACGATCAAGACAGAGCCTGAGTTAACAACAGGGAACAGGCAGGAGCAGCCGGTGCAGCAGCTGACACTAGTTCTTCCACCTCCCTTCTGCCCACCTCACCCTGCTTTCAAACTCTTAGAGTTAACTCCCTGCCCCAGCCAGTGCAGAGGAAGACACTTCTTTCAACCTTATTCTCCATTCTTTGGTGAATTTTTAGTGTTTAGCTGCTATTAAGAACACAATTTTTTTTTAAAGATTTATTTATTTGTGCATACAGAACTGGGGTACAGGCCAGAGGCCCAGGGGCGGTGAGAGGCTTCACCAGAGACAGAGTGGGGAACAGAACAGGCAGATTGACGAAGTACACTGCTGAGGGGAGCAGCAGGAGGGTCAGGAGAGGTCTGCCACACCATGTGGATCTTCTCTGGGGCAGGCGGGAATCGAACTCATGCGGAAGCGGCTTTAGATTCTCAGTGCTGTGCTTTGACCCGCTGCGCGACCACAAGAACACAATTTTAAGTTAAAATTATAGGGCATCAAAAATCTTTTCACAATTGATCTCATTTTGGTATATGTTCTGTATTTGGAGATTGTTCTTTTGTCAATCCTCTCTTAGCAGCTCACAGAGGTTCTGAACAGAGCTGGAGAGAGTAGCAGCCCATTTAATTTACTGATTTCCAGAGCACACTGACCATGTCAGGCATTTCTATTATAATCTCATTTTCTATAGTAAAACTAGAGGTTAATTGTAGGAGGAAAAAAATCAATAGTGGTATGAGTGTCCCCAGGGTGGTGTGGGTTTGGATAATGTCACCAAACTCGCTCAAAACCAAAACCAAGTATAATAATTAAAATACATATAGTGAGGCCTTTCAAACTTTAATCACAACTCAGTTCATGTTTACGGATGACCGTTAGATCTGTAAGGCAGCCTTCAAAGATTTTTCTGGTGGACATTACAAAAAGGTTAGAAGTCACCAAATGCCACTCCACCCTAATGTCACTCAGTCCCATCTGAGTGACAGGAAGGTTCCTTGCCCAATGATTGCTTCCAGCCATCAGTGTATTTTATCCAGTGAGAGGAGGCCATTGCCATGATGTCAGCAAGAGCAACCCCGATAAATTGACCACCGCCCCTCAGAGGCTACCATTGTCCTTCCTGCCAGTTGTCAAGATTGACTCAAAAATAGCCGATGCTCTCATCGAGGTTTCCACTGAGGAGTGCCTGGCCTAAGGACAGCCGGCAATTGCCAACACGCAGAGGCTAAAGAAGAAGCAGAAGGAGAAGCACAAGCAGAAGCAGCAGCAGAGGAGGCCCGGAAGCAGAAGCAATCCACATGCTGCAGGCTCGCCAAGAAACAAAGCCAGAGCTTTACCACCTACTTCCCCTGGATTCTCAAGTACATCCACAAGGACCTGAGCCTTTTGCTGGAGGCCCTGAGCGTCCGTCCTGGACTCCTTCATGAAGGACATGTTGTAGCACACTTCAAGGAGAATGATGCTGGTCACCTGGCCCGCTCCAACCAGCACACTAACTTCACGTCCAGAGAGATCCAAACCACGATGCGCCTGCTGCTGCCTGGGGACATTGATAAGCACGCCGTGAGCGAGGGCACCAGCTGCATCTGCAGGACCCTGAGTCCCCCAAACCAAAGGCTCTTTTCAGAGACCCAAATCAAAAGCTCTCTTCAGAGCTACCTCCTTTGGCACAAAAAGGCCTGTAGCTCTCCAAACATGGCCTGCTGTCTGTCCAGGACGCGGCGCCCTGCCCGTGCTCTCCTCAGTTGCTTTCAACCAATAATGAATACAATCAAGTTGGGTACATTAACTGTGATGATCACTTCCAGAGATACAGATTTCTGGAGACCTTAGAGTTTGAAAGATGCCCGCGAGGGGCTTTGACAAAATTTTTTTCGAAGTGCATCCCTGGTGGCTGTGCAAAGTGCACATGTACCCATAAGGATGAAACCTTCACTCACATTCATCAAAGTCTGATGGAAATAACCAGGGTTGCTTTAGATGGTATGGCAGCATAAAAAGGTATAAAATTGTGCACCTGACTTTGCTATTTATATGACATGTACGTTATGAATTATTTTCTTAATGATATCAGTAGCCATCCTGGTCCCTCACAAGGAGGACTAGGTGGTCACGTGCAGAGAGATCCAGACCACGGCCTTCCCGCTGCTGCCCAGGGAGACTGGCCGCTGGTTGTGCCTGAGGCTACCAAGGCCATTGTCAGGTACCGCAGGTGGAAAAAAGTCTCCCTTGGCATCATGTGAGCACGGCACACCCAAGGTTCCTTTTAGATCCACCTCACTTGGTGGGGAAAGCCCTGAGGTTGTAAAAAGTGGAACCTACTCTTGTTCTGGACCTTGTGGCATCCTCCCATCTTTAAAATATTTTCATTGTACAAATAATGAAACTATTATCCGGGTCTGGCTGCAGTGCCAACATTCTATTTCTATTTAATATCTATAATTTCAACGAGGTTGGTGAGGACTTTCCAAGCTCTCATGCTTTCACCACAACTGAGTTGATGTTTTCAGATGACCATTTGCTCTAGGGGGACAGCTTTCAACGATTTTTCTGATGGCGGTCACAGAAAGGACGGTCACGAAACGCCACTCCACTGTGATGCCCAGCAGGGTGATGAACCAATCCCTTGTGACTAGATGCCTACTCTGCCTCGAGACAGCCCGCCCCCGCTGCATTTCTTCCAATGAGAGGTGGCCATTGTGAGACGTCAGCAAAGGCAGCCCCTATAAAAGGGCCACCACTCGGCAGCCACCGTTGTCCCTCCTGTGCGCTGTGAGGGAGTTGACTGGAAATGGACGACCCTCGCCTCGAGACCTTGACTGAGGAGCCTTCGGGCTCAGGGGAGCCGGCAAAAGCCAGCCCTCAGAGCCAGAAGCAGAAACAGCCTACGCAGCAGAAGGAGCAGCAGCGCGTGCTACGCCAGCGCGCCAAGAACCGAAGCGATAGCTTTGCCACCTACTTCCCGCGGGTTCTCAAGTACATCCACAAGGACCTGAGCCTCTCGCAGAAGACCGTTAGCGTCCTGGATTCCTTCGTGAAGGACATGTTCGAGCGCATCGCCCAAGAGTCCAGTCACCTGGTCCGCTCCAACCAGCGCGCCACCCTCACGTCCAGAGAGATCCAGACGGCCGTGCGCCTGCTGCTGCCCAGGGACCTGGGCAAGTTAGCCGTGAGAGAGGGCACCCAGGCCCTCATCAGATACATCCACCGCAAATGAGCCGCTTGTCCCGGTGGCCACCTGAGCCCCGCAAACCAAAGGCTCTTTTCAGAGCCACCTCCCTTGTCACAAAAAGGCCTGTAGCTCTCCAAACACGGCCCGCTGGTTGTCCAGCCGGCGGCGCCCTGCCCGTGCTCCTCACCAGTAACGAATACGATCCAGGCGGACATATTCGCCGTAACCTTCACTTCCGGCTAGACAGACTTCCGGAGACCATAGTGTTTGAGATGTGCCCGCGAGGGGCACTGACTGAGATTTTTTTCAGGTGGATCCCTGGTGGGCTGTGTAAAGTGCACATATACCCACAGGGATGTAGCGTTCACTCACATTCAAGGTGTCCAGTGGAATTATCCCGGGCTCCTTTAGCGTGATACGGCATCAGTTTCTCAGTCCTTACATCCTTTTGTGGTAGGAAGGTTGAATTTAAAAATCCTCATTTTCCACAAATCACACATTTGTCTGTATTTTAAAACCAAATGTCATATATATTTGAAAGATAACTTGAAAATTAATATCACCTGTATTATTCACTTTATCTCCCCGAGGATATTACTTATGTATACAATTTGGTGTTTTGTTGTTGTTGTTGTTGTTTTTCAGTGCACTTTACTCATGTTTACTCAGTTATACACATCATAGTATTTTTCTAGGACTTACATATCTTAAAGAGAGACTTTTAAAGGTACGCATGTTTCAGGATATTCTACTTTTATAAACATAGCTGTTTCTGTCCAGTATTTGGAGGTTGTTTCCATTTTCTCTTTTTTCCAATCACTGAGGTCTTGGGGCAGAATCTGAGGCAATGGTTAGCCAGGGTGCTACTTTTCAGGGGTTCTGCCCAAAGTCCGTGACTTCCTGTTCTAGCCAGAGTGGGTTAGCTCTGGGCAAACAGTACATTTTGGGTTATTGCATAAATGACCGGGACCGTCTGGCATCGAGGATTGGTTGCAGAGGTCACACACACTCAGTGGACTGACTAAAGCTGAAATTTCTGCAAGTAAGGTGCTTGCCGTGGCGCCACGGCTTCCAGGTGCTCTCTGAGGGGGCTACAGAGGCTCGAGACAGTGTACTTTCCATGACTTCTAATTGGTCCTTGCCAAGTAGAACGACCCAATCACATTTAAAGTCATGGTTACTGACAAGGTTGCCGTCAACATTTCCTCCAATCAGATTAGTGAGCAGACTCACCTCATTTGAATACAGTGGCATAGAAATACACTGCGCTCTGTCACCCAGCAGCAGTGTGCTTAGCTGGCGTGCTCCACGTCGGTAACGTCTGACATTCTTCTCAGTCTGCCTTTACCAAGAAAGGTATTAGGAAAGCACACATTTTTACCGTGAATAAAATGTTGTCGGACTCCCAGCTATATTTTCTCATATATCTGGGCGCATAGTGTTTCTAGGAACACCACGATTTTCTTAACCATGTGACCTGATCTCCTGACCTAAACCTTCACTTCTGGAGGAACGTCATTATGTCCTTTTTGTTTAAATGATACTTGCCCACCCCCACCCCCGACCACCACCACCAGCAGCACCACTCATTGTGTCACTGCTGTAGGTTCAAATTTACCAGAAGCTCATTATGTTTGATATGGGAACAGAGCCACCTCACTCAGGTCAAAAAAGACCTGTGGTAACTCTGACATGCTGTGACTGTAGGATCATTCCAAGCTAACTGTTACCACATTTTATCTTGAGCAAAATATTACTGATCCGTATCAATGGATTTTTTTTTTACGTGTGTCTGTAGTGTGATATCTTCCATGGAAAATCATGATGCTTCCTTAAAAATACTGAATCAATCACTTTCTTATCGGGTCATTTTTACTATTTTCCTGCATCACCAGTTGTTTCAGAATAATTTTATTTGCCATTTTAATCTTTATTTTCCACAAAGGTTGAAGGAGTAAGCGTTCTGTTAAGCATACAATTTTTACACCGACTTGCAAATCTCCTGTGCTTTAATCACACCTCAGTTCATGTTTCCATGACTGTTAGCTCTATAGGACAGCTTTCAATGATTTTCTGACAAACGTTACAGAAAGGTTAGAGGTGGCTCCTTGCCCAGCGATTGCTCCCCGCCACTCGGTGCATTTTATCCAATGAGAGGTGGTCATTGCCATGACGTCAGCGACAGCAGAACGCATAAATGGGCCACCGCTCCCTCAGAGCGTTGCACTGTCCTTCCTGCCAGCTGTCAGGAAGCTGACTCCGAAATGGCCGACGCTCTCGTCGAGGCTTCGACTGAGGAGTGCCTGGGCTCAGAGGAGCTGACAGTCGCCAGCCCGCCGAGCCTGAAGAAGAAGCAGAAGCACAAGCAGAAGAAGAAGGAGGCCCTGAAGTGGAAGCAATTTATGCGCCTCAGGCGCGCCAGGAAACAAAACCAGAGTTTTGCCTCCTACTTTCTCAGGGTTCTCAAGAAGGTCCACGGGGACCTGAGGCTTTCACAGGAGGCCCTGAGCGTCCTTTATTCCTCCATGAAGGACATGTTAGGGCGCATCGCCCAGGAGGCCGGCCACCTGGCCCTCTCCGCCCAGCGCACTACCGTCAAGTCTAGAGAGATCCAGACGGCCATGCGCCTGCTGCTGCCCGGGGACATCGGCAGCAAACACGCCGTGAGCGTGGGCACCAAGGCCGTCATCAGATGCACCAGGGGCAAGTGAGCCGCCTGTCCCGGGCCACCTGAGCTCCGCAAACCAAAGGCTCTTTTCAGAGCCCCCAAACCCAAAGGCTCTTTTCAGAGCCACCTCCCTTGTCAAAAAAAGGCCTGTAGCTCTCCAAACACGGGCACCCTGCCCAAGCTTCCGACACTGCTTCTTTCCACCAATAACGAATGCGGTTTGAGGCGGGTACATGCGCAGCAATCATCACTTCCGGTTAGACAGGCTTCCGGAGACCATAGTGTTTGAGATGTGCCCGCGAGGGGCACTGACTGAAATTTTTTTTCAGGTGGATCTCTGGTGGGCTGTACACAGTGCACATGTACTCAAAAGGCTGTCGCGTTCACTGCATTCCCAAAAGTGCCCAAAGGACACTTTTTTTTTTTTTTTTTTTTTTGCTGTCAGGACACTAGCGCTTTAATGGATATTAGTGGCCACTGCTCAGTGGGCGGCTCTGCCCGAGGGGCTCAGGGTGGTCGCATTTGCCGCCCCCTGGCTGAGCGACAGTGGTGAGTGGGTTCTAGAAGGGTCTCTGGCACCCCAGGCAGCGCCAAGGGTCAGAACTCCCTTGCGTGGAGTCACAGGTCCTTTGTACCAAGCGTGAGCTGGTCTTGAGCCATTTCACTGTAGGCTTATACGGCATCGCCTTCTTTCTTTCTTTTTTAAAGATTTATTTATTTATGCATACAGAATTGGGGTACAAGCCAGAGGTGCAGGGGCGGTGAGAGGATTCATCAGAGACAGAGAGGGAAGCAGAACAGGCAGATCGATGAGGTACACTGCAGAGGGGAGCAGCGGGAGAGAGAGGAGAGGTCTGCCGGGCTCTGCGGATCTCTGCCCCGCTCTGCGGATCACCTCCGGGCGGGGAATCGAACTCGCACTGAAGCAATTGTGGCTAGCTTGCAGGGCTGCGTCCCTAACTTCTTGCACCACCAGGGAGGGCCAGGCATCGCTTTCTTTCACTTTCTTAGTCCTTACATCCTTTCGTGGTAGGAGGTTAGATTTAAAATCTGAACTTTCCACAAATCACACATTTCTCTGTATTTTCAAATCGATTATTATAAAATTTGTACGATAACTTTTAAAATTAAATCTGAATGATTCACTTTATCTCACAGAGATTATTACATTTAGGATTTTTTATTCAGTGAACATTACTCATGTTTATGCAACAATTTTACAGTTCGTAGCATTTTCTAGGACTCAAGTACCTTAAAGAGTGTTTTAAATGTACGAATGTTTTAGGATATTTTAATTTTTGTAAAGATAGATGATTCTCTTCAATATTTGGAGATTGTTGCCGCTTTCTCTTTTTTCCAGTCACTGAGGTCTTGGAGCAGAATCTGAGGCAATGATTAGCCAGGTTCTTACTTTCCAGGGGTTCTGCCCTAAGTCCGTGATTGCCTATTCTAGCCAGCGTGGGTTAGCACTGGGCAAACAGTACGTTTTGGGTCACTGCAATAAATGACCAGAACTGTCTGGCATCGAGGATCGGTTGCAGAATTCACACTCAATGGACTGACTAAAGCTGAAATTTCTGCAAGTAAAGTGCTTGCAGCTGCGGCTTCCAAATGCTCTCTGGTGGGGGGGCGGTGCGGGGGGAGGGATAAGGGGGCGGCTGCAGAGGCTTCAAGACAGTCTGATTTTCCATACCTTCTAATTGGTCCGTGCCAAGTACAACCATCCAATCACGCTTAAAATCACGGATCACCATTTCATCCAATCAGATTAGCGGGCAGACCCACCTCATTTGAATACAGCGGCATAGAAATACACTGCGCTCTGTCACCCAGCAGCAGTGTGCTTAGCTGGGGTGCTCGAACGCTGTGTCGGTAACCTCTGACATTCTTCTCAGTCTGCCTTTACCGAGAAAGGTATTAGGAAAGCCACTGCCAGAATTAGAAAGCACGCTGTGAACGAAGTGCCCCGATGTTGCGTACTCCATCTCTTTCTACAAGGTTTTGAAACAGGTTCATCTTAATATGATGATTTCATTCAAAGCCATGTACACGTTTTGCAAACGATCAAGGAGGGCATTCAAAGTATGCCTTTCTCCTGGACCACCACCCCAAGCTTCCCCATCACTTCCAGAGAGATCACCACCCGATTCTGATTCCAGTGGGAAAAACTCAAACCTCATACCTTACGGGCATCTGACTTGGAAATTCCCATGAGATGGAAGCCATGAAGGCTCTGTATTCCAAGCTGAAATTTCTGGGCTGAGGTAGAAAAGAACAAGATAAACTGAAATGAATTTGAAAGAAATTTCAGAAACCAGGGAACTGGGAAAGTGACTGTACTGAAAGAATATCATTTAAACAAGAAGGCCATGACTTT